GTGTCCCCAGCTGTGTTACATTCCAAGCTACAGCAAAACAGCTGCTGGATCTCAAGATGGTGCTGGTTGGGTGTGTGTGTTTTGACAAGCTGCTCAAAATCCCTAGCCACTGTTGTAGACAAACTTTTCATGTTGACTCTGGATGACTAAACCACTGTGGAATGCAGAAACATTGCTCTGGAGTGGTTAGACATGCTGGGTGATCTTGGGCCTCTCATACGCTTATCAACCAAGCCTGCCCTCAAGGTGGTGGGTTAAAAACATGCCAGATAAATAAATAAAGCTTCGGCAACATCTGTGACAGTTTCAGGTGTGGTCTATCTTGTTATAGGGGTGAGTCTTACATCTGTCTTTCCCCACATTCTTTCAAACACTGCTCTTTGTTTCTCCATGAAGCAGTAAAGTACTATTTTAGCATTCGTGACTTCTTCATAATTCGAAGAATCAGGAAAGGGGAACTCACAGATTGACAGCTTTCCTTTCTGCTCTCATCTGGCTTTAGGAAATGTCCTAGACAGTAGCCTTTCCCCATCCAGCACTACCAGTCGACCTAAGGCTGCCAACCTCCAGGTGGTAGCTGGAGGTCTCCTGCTATTACAATTGATCTCCAGGTGACAGAGATCAGCTCACCGGAAGATAGGGTTGCTGGAGTCCAAAAGGCAAGCTGGCGGGGGATTTACTGGGGTGCTCCAGGAGAGGGGAGGGAAGAAGCACACCGTGCTTATGTCACCTCTGCGTGACACAGTCATGTAAGGGAAAACTCTATCGTTTGAAGCTAATTCTACCATAGAGTTTTGTCCAAAAACCAGAGTGTCGCCCCCCAGATGTCACCGACATGTCTACATCACTTCTGGGTTACTTAGGCATGTCACATTTTGGGTGGTAACTCTTCCCCATTGGGGATGGCACCAGAAACCAGAGGATCCCCCGCACTCCAGAGGGACCTGACAACCCTGCCTGGAGAAACTGGCCACTTGGTACGGTGGACTCTATAGCAGTATACCTCATTGAAGTCCCTCCCCTCCCTAAACTGTACCCTCCTCAGGCTCCACCCCCAAAATCTCCAGGTATTTCACAACATAGAGCTAGCAACCCTAAATCAACCCCTGAACACTTCCTGAAAGGCACTGCCAGATTCGGCCTACTTCTGGCAATGGCATTTGTTTGTTGTTCTGCAAATATATAACACAAAGGCATGGATGAAAAGCCTCTAGTTTCAGTACTGCTTATCTGGAAATAAGCAGCTGCATCATGTATGCCTTTTGGCCCCTGATAAGGGCACTGTGCATTTTAGAAGCAAGTACCTTCATCTCGGCAGGCAAAAGAAGGTAAGTTGTTTATTCTGTTATAACAATAGGCCACTCTATATGAAAATGTGGTGGCATTGCTAGATAGGGCATACACTTTCAATGTTTATGGATGTTAGGCATGGTGATTATCCTTCCTGTCCATTGAATTTTAATACATACACATCAATTAGATGCCCAAGCATCAGTCCTAAGGAGGCTTACTCGGCAATCAGCAAACTGAACTCAGTAGGAATTACTTCCAAGTAAATCTGCATAGGATTGGGGTGTTGGCAGTCCTTGACGCAAGAAAGACTGGTGTTCTCTGAACTGTGGTCCGTCTTGCATGCTGGAATTCTGAACGGGAAATGTTTCTGTAGATATTTAAAGGTTGTTGAGTGATTAAAATCTAACCAAGTCAGATTTGCAAAGAGGTATCCTGCCTTGTGCCCTCACCTGGGTAGCCCAGGCTAGCTTGGTCTTGCTGAATCTTGGTTGCTAAGAACACTTGGCCTTGGCTCAAATTTGGATGGGAGACCACCAAGAAATACCAGGGCGCTATGCAGAGTCAGGCAATCGCGACCCACCTCTGAGCGTCTCTTGCCTTCAAAACCCTACAGGGTTGCCATAAGTCACCTGTGACTTGATGGCCCCACACACACACAAAAAATCCTGGCTTGTATTAAGGATGTAGATTTCATTTCAATAAATAACCATTTAAACTATCAAAATGTTTTATTGTTTGAATGCTTAAATGTTAACGAGCTGATCTATCTAGCCTGCATACATATTCTTACATGTTATCAGCTCTGCTAATGATTTTTAAGAATCGTTAACATGATGATGTGCTCCAGCATCAGGCTTCCCTCCTCTCCCCAAACCCCAAGCTCCACCCCAAAATATCCAGGAATTTCCCAGCCTGGAGTTGGCAACCCTAGCCCTAAATAAGAACATAAGAGAAGCCAATGTTGGATCAGGCCAATGGCCCATCCAGTCCAACACTCTGTCACACAGTGGCCAAAAATACCAGGTGCCATCAGGAGGTCCACCAGTGGGGTTCATTGTAAGCTCCCCCCCCCATATACTGTACAGTGATTCAGTGCAAGGCATACCCATCAAGGGATGCCAGCCTCCAGGTGGGACCTGGGGATGCCCAGGAATTACTGCTCATTTACAGACTACAGAGATAACATCCCATGGATAAAATGGATGCTTTGGAGGTTGGACTCTATGCATTGTACCTCACTGAGGTCCCTATCCTCCCCTGGTTCCACCCCCAAATCTCCAGGAATTTCCTAACCCGCATCTGGCAACCTTACCCCCCCCCCCAATTCCTTGCTGGTAGCCAGAGGGGACCTGGCAACTCTACACCCATCCCCACCACAATCATATGGCGTTGGATATGGTATTGGCATATGGTATTGGCTGGAGAGCCAACATGGTATAGTGGTCCAGAGTGGTGGACTCGAATGTGGAGAACCAGGTTTGATTCCCCACTCGTCCGCATGAAGCCTACTGGGTGACCTTGGGGCAGTCACGGTTCTTCCAGAACTCTCGAAGCCCCACCTACCTCCCAAGATGCCTGTCGAGGGGAAAGGGAGGGAAGGCGATTATAAGCCACTTTGAGACTCCTTAAAGCAGAGAAAAGCAGTGTGTAAAAACCTACTCTTCTTCTGAATCTACCCAGCTCTGTCCCTCAGTCTCACCCAGTTCTCCTCCATACTACAGCCATTATCTCATATGGCTTTTGCACATCATTCCCAACGTAGTCTCCTTCAGTGGACAAAAGTGTCTCCCTTTTTCAAAAACAGAAAATCTGACAGGATCCCACCCCTGGGAACTATTTTCTAAGCTAAGAGTGGGAATGAAGGGAGATAAAACAGCATCAAGAGAAATATGGAAATCATTTACATGTTCTACTTTTAATAATTTCCCCCCTCCCATTTTAGAAAAAAAACCTGCAGCTCTTTATATACCCAGCTGCCTGCCAAAACTTGATTTCCACTGTACCAATTTTTTGTTTCCATTGTACATAACATTGTGTATCTACACTTTAGAAAGGAACTCCTCAGCCCCTGGCCAATCAAAGGTGCAGCTCATTGTCTGTTGTCAATATCTGAGAACCCTAAACAAGAGAAGTTTGACTTCCTCTCCTTGACCTTAAAGCTTTTATCTCTCTGGCTCTCAAGAATCCGATCGCATCATTTCTGTCAATGAAGGGGCTGTTTTCCACTTCTCACCTCGTTCATGCACTCTCCCCTTAACCAATGGGAAGGAAATCCAGCTAGAAAGTGGGTGGTACAGAGGTGTCCAAACCACAGACTGCCTCATTGGAGACAGGTGCAAACTTAGACCAGTTACATGCCATCTTATAAAAATGCTGCAGGAGCCCAAACAATAAAATGCTTCCATCGCCAGCACGAATTTCCCCTCCTCCACAAACTCACAACGGTTTCCCCCTCTTAAATATGTCTGTTGAATATGACAAATCTGTCACCATTCTCTTGTATTCCTGGCAACACTCAAACCACTTCCTTAGGAACTCAACCCCCCCCCACCCTTGGGGTTTTTGAATTTCCCCCATGCAAGCACGATCATTTTCTCATCTCGTGGGAGAGAACTGCAGGTCAGAGCGTTCTGTACAAGTTGCACATCATTTGTGTGTGTTATGCAACACTGCTAAATGTTAATAGTTTTTACAAGTATACCCAACAATGCTGAATAATTTTTAAGGAATACTCCCAGTTCAGTTGATACTGCCATTTCTCATGGTTATGGTTGGCTCATGTGGATCCCACCAATTTGCCTGTGGGATATCCTCATGAGGGAATTCACCATTGGAACCCTGAGACTGTAGTCCTGGGGATAAGTCCCATCAAACTCAAAGGGACTTATTTCAATTTATCCATAGGATCAAAGTATAAGGCTCCATTTATGCATTATCACTGTGGTGCCACACTCCCCATAATTTTTCCTGTTGTTGTTGTTGTTCAGTCGCACAGTCGAGTCCGAGTCTTTGCGACCCCATGGACCAGATCACGCCAGGCCCTCCTGTCTTCCGCCGTCCTCTGAAGTTGGCTCAATTTCATGTTCGTTGCATCTATGACACTGTCTAACCATCTCATCCTTTGCTGTCCCCGTCTTCTTTGACCTTCAATCTTTCCCAGCATCAGGGTCTTCTCCAGTGAGGTCTCCCTTCTCATTTGGTGGCCAAAGTATTAGAGTTTCAGTTTCATTATCTGGCCTTCCAGGGAACAGTCAGGGTTGATTACTTTTAGGATTGACTGATTTGATCTTCTTGCAGTCCAAGGGACTCTCAAGAGTCTTCTCCAGCACCATAGTTCAAAAGAATCTATTCTTCGGCACTCGGCCTTCCTTATAGTCCAACTCTCGCAGCCATACATGACTACTGGGAATACCATTGCTTTGACCATGCGGATTTTTCCTGTAACACCAGGCAAAGGCTACGGTCAGACTACAAGCTTGGCGTGGTCTGTTCGTGCCTCTAAGTTCTCCAGAACTATTTGTTCCAGACCCTTTTGATCAGACACCCCACCCTCACCCTGAACTCACTGCATGGTTGACCAATCAGACGTCAGCTGCGCGTTTGCTGGGGGAGGTATTAGGCAGGTTCTGTTGGTTTGAAGGTCTTTGTGCACATGTGCAGAACCACTTATTCCAGAAGCTTCACTTCCCAAAAAACTTGGGTATGCAATGGCACAATCAGATATCAAGAAGTATGGAGTGAAACCACAGATGCCTGATCAGACTTTCCCCAGTGCCTGGAAACTCCTGCTCCAAGATGGGTGAGTATCAGGTGCCGACGGCTGGGGGGTGAGAGGCAGATGTTGCTGCCTGAACCTGCAGTTTAAATCCACAGGGCAACAGCAATGAAGCAGTTTCTAACCTCCTGTCTGACTGCAGCTATAGGTCAGACAGTCATGTAGCAGACTAGCAATGTGGGAGCACCTCTGGAGATAGTCCAAGACAGTGGTGGTGTTTATTTCTAACGACTTCATGGCACTGTAGACTCCAGAGCAAAGGTGGTCAACCTTAATGCCAATTCCAGTGTTCTTAGCAAGTATTCCATGGCTCAGGTCCCAAGTATGAGATAGAAATGTACATAAGTACAGAAGTTGTACAGGACTGAGGTGGCTTT